CAAAGCGCATGATCCAATCAACCACGACGTCTCATTCCCAAGACACGAAGCCACCGCTCGTGCAATGGGACAAGGGCCGATTTGAGGATCTAGTCAATGATCTCACCACATCAATTGACACCCTCTATGATCTCTCTCGAACACGATCAGCCGTCCCACGCAGACCATCCAAGTCACTCTTCAAGACGGCGTCGAGTTCTGAAGACTTCCGCCCGTTTGAGTCGACACGAATGCAGACTCCCCAACAAATTGATCCTCAAACTCTCACCCACTTACGACCACGGATGGGAGGCGAATCTCCAAACTCTCGCGAAGTCGTTTTTATGAGCAAGACAGCTTATTCAGAGCTTGCCCATGGATCTTCCCGACAACCATGGGCTCCTTTGCTCCTCGAGTACGCCACGTTTGACTCCATCTTTGCTGCGACGGGAATCATGCCCCCCATGGATCGTTTTGAAAAGATGTCTTCCGGGCTACAACAAGATCCTCAGAGATCGCCAGGTACATGGACCGGTCTGCCTCGCCTTTTAGGTTATTTCGAGGATCTCGAAAACTCGAGACTTGGACTGGTATACAGATTTCCCCCATCCTTTAACGCCGTCTCGTTTGAGCGCCTCACCAAGAATCCCCTTTATAACCTCCCAACATTGACCGACCTTCTTTCTCGTCCTGGCTCGGAACCCAGGCTAGAAGCTAAATTTAAGTTGGCACACAACCTTGTCAACACAGTTTTCGACATGCATGCCAGAGGCGTCACCCATGGCATCCTTGTAAACAGGAATATCTCCTTCTGCGACGCTGTGACGACAGAGCCTGGTGTGAGCAATGGCGAAGTCGATATTCGACGGCCTCTGGTCTCTTCATTCGACCTCTTCCCTGACGATACTCCGGGGGCAAAACCCTCGCTTTTTCGACATCCGCTTGATCCGCGCAATACACCTACGTCTCCCTTGGCTCGATACAAGGATCAGCGGGTCCTGGATCTCTATTCGCTTGCAATGGTTCTCTTGTCCATCGGCCTATGGACCGAACTCGAAGATCTTGTTCCCGACCCGGTGTCCACATTTGTGCCCGAGTCGCTTTTAGAGCACCTCGCTACACGTTGTGGCACACTCTACATGAAGGCGGTCCAGACGTGTTGGAGTGCAGTGGACGATGAGCTCGCAGGGCGTCGCACTGGAGAGTCCTTACTCTCTGAAGTCCAGGTCAGGACAAGTCGATTCTTGGAGGCGTGCTGTATTCTTGATGGAGTCAGCGGCATGGAGGAACGACTTGACCAAGAACTCCATCAAGTCAAACCAGCCTCGACCCCTGTGGACTCTCCCGTCACGCATACACCCAAAAACGAGAAAGCTGGTAAGGAAAAGAGGAAGCCACTACCTAAACCCTTCAGCGAGAAACAGGCGCCTGCGGAGACGGCCAAGTCAGTCTCTGTGAAGGAAGTCAAACATGTTGAAGCAGATACAGACCTCGGTGGTAATAACTGTCCCCATCTAACTTCTAAGCGCGTATCATTCGCTAACGACTCGTAGAAGTTACCTCTGAGAAGCCTTCTGCAAAGGAGGCCAAGTCCCGACTATATCCACACGTCGCCTTGGCTCCAGAGGTCGTGGACAGGTGGAATAAGATCCTCATGCCTCAACTCAATCATGCTCTCCGTCATTTTTACCGCAAGCACCCCGAATCAGTGGAAATGTCCCTCGAATCCATCGGTCCGAGTCCTCAAAAGACCCAGCCCACTGTGCTCGTGGTTTGCCAGTCAGTCGGTAAAGTCCGCGCCATCCTAAATAAGAGAGTGGGTGAATTGTTTGACGGCACGACCGGTTTTGCCTTGAAAGTTTGTCGGGGCCATGTTCTGAGGTCGAGGCGTCAGCCGGGATCGGTCCTGAAATCAATGGCTCGGAGGAGCAATGGCTCTCAGGGCGATGACGGTGCCGATGCTATCAACCCAGAGTATCAAGAACGACCACACAATGGGGCCAGTATAGGTGCTTGGATTGGAGATCGGCATCTTCCGCCTGTCAGCCTCGGTGGCATTGTCGTGATTGATGAGAAGGCCTACGGCATGACTGTCCATCACATGCTCGATGATCCGGATCGAGAATTCGGGAACAATGACACGTTGAGATGCAGCGCTCTCCCCGACGTAGACTTCTATGCCGAGTCTGCGGAAGAGAGCACTGAGAGTGACGACTTTGCTTATGAGTTGTCGGACACGGAGTCAGAGGCATACTCTGACTCTGACATAACTAGCGACTACGACGATGATGAGGAAGATGAAGAATTCAATGAGCCTGGCGATATTCCGGGCGTGGAGCCTGGCTGTGGCGATGGCTACATTATTACTCAGCCTGCCCTTGATGATGTTGAGGAGGGCTTTTACCCCGACGCGGAGACTGAAGACGAGGATCACCTTGATACCTATAGTCTAGGCGAAATTTACGCCTCAAGCGGCATTCGCAGAAAACACGCCAACGGTCTCATCCACGAGGTTGATTGGGCTCTCTTCGAATTCGCTCCAGACCGGTCTCCTGACGACAACTCGATTCCTCGAGCTCAAGATTCCGCATCACTGCGAAAGCTCGGCCCAAGCCACAAGGACAGCGCTGCATTGCTCAGACCAACCACTGTTGCACCTTCAACCTCCTTGCCAGGAATGGAGGTTCAATGCATGGCTCGGACCAGTGGACTGCAGACTGGCCAGATCCTCCCCGCTCTCACCAGCGTCAAGATTTATGGTCGCGAATCCGCAAGTCACACATACCAAGTCACAAGTGTACCCCCTTCACATGAAGAAGGCAAGAAGTGGGGTGTGCCTCTCGGTATCCCAGGAGACAGTGGTGCCTGGGTGATCGACCGCCGACATGGCCAGCTTTGCGGGCATGTTTTGGCCTGGAGCCAGCGGAAGCACGTCGCTTACATCTGTCCCATGGACGTATTGCTTCTGGACATTGCTGAGACCCTAGAGGCCGGTGAGGTCAAACTTCCAGGAGGCGAGCCTGTTGTCACGCTGGGAGATCAAGAGCCTCACCACTCTTCCACCGAAGAGCAAGCTCCCCATCCCGACGAGGACCTTGATGACCTTCTCGAGGAGGAAACCGAAGACACAGATCTCCCACCTCATCTCATCGCCTCAGTCGGCGGAAAGGATCATGTCAGCCACGGAATCGCGAGCTGCAGCGGCAGCGATCGTGGCTCATCCAGCCCCATCCGGCTCGACACGTCAAGCGAGATAGCAGGGCTTACGAGCCGACTCGACGAACTGAGCATGAGTGGGAAGTTTCGAATCGGGGTTAGTGGCTAATGCCAACAAGTACTGAGATGCGTTTCTTTTGTTTGGTGTAATGTTACCCGGGATTTGGAGGATGGGATACCCCTATGAATAAAGAGACGGATGAGAGATTGTGGTTCGTGGTGGGGCTTGAAGAGCGATTACGTGCATCATCGTCAAGATTGAGATATCGTATAGCCAGAACTTTTACGTCAACTTGACCCTTTCCCCTCTCGATACCTGTGAATGAGGAGTAAACTACATGAAGTCGTCCTCCCAGTTCTCATCACGGTCCTGGTTGCTCGAATTCGCCATGTTGTCCTCGGTGAAGAGCTCGTCGTAGGCATGGTCCTTCTGCCACTTCTTCTCCTTCCACTCCTGCGCTTGTTTGGCCTCTTCCTTGCGCTAATATTACCAATGTCAGTGAGAGATGTTGCGTCTCGTCGATCAAAAAAAGAACATACCCTCTTGAGTTGAGCATCCTGGTCTTTCTTGCGAAGCTCCTTGAGACGATCCTCCTTTTCCTGCTTCAGGTCGGGCTTCTGCTCCACCTTTGTCTTGTTGAGGCGGTTGACGATGGGGTTCTCGCGCTGAGGAACGAGGATCCTCTTGACCTGAAAACGGGGGGGTGAGCAAAGGAAGGGGCATAGATGCAAGTCTGGCAAGGGAAGGAGTCGACGTACCTTGCGGTGATCCTTGAAACCAACTTGGCCAACCTCCATGCTGCCATCCTTCTTCAGGTTCGACCAGGGGGTGTAGATGACGGTGATGTTGTCCTTCTTGTTGCCCTCTATGGAGTTGGCCTTGGTCAACTGCGCCAAGTCCATGACCAGGGCCTCGGGCAGCGAGTCCCATTCCTGGCCTGCACTCATTCGGAGGTAGATGTGCGCACTGGACAGTTTATCGACGTGGAACTAAAGTCACGGGCGGGCGTCAGTCCAACTCCTTAACTAGAAGTCGTCGTGTTGTTTCTCACCCTATACTCTCAGTTAGAAAGTATGGCCAAGACTTGCGCAGTGAGGAGGTATACACACCAAACATCCTCCTCCCAGCCAAACTTGATCAGATCCTCATCTAGAGCGTTTCAGTCTGGGAGACGTGGCAACCAGTCTTTAGGGATGGAGCATACTCTCAAACTTGTCCTTGCCGACGTAGACGAAGCCCGACGGCTCGACGACATTGGACTTGAAGTAGTAAACCATTTCCGAGTATTGTTGCAGCCAGCCCTCTGCTGCGCTCACAAGCCTCGTCAAATGAACGGTGGTGGTGATGAACAAGAGTGAGCGTTATAACCAAGGCGTGTCAATCTTTGAGTTGGGTGAGGGGATCATGAGCAGAAATTTGGTGGTGCGACTGCGCGACTTGTGCCTTAACGGGAAAGGGCATTCGCGCCCGCTGTAAGTGTGCTATGATGTCGCTATTGAAAAGGCCACCAGATAGCGCATCGGTACCGAATTATGAAGCCCCAGGCTCGGAGGATGCAAGCACGTGACACCCTTGATATGAGATGCGATTATGTGCACGTACAAAGTGGGCAGAGGGTGAACCCCAAGCATTCTTCAATTCCTTGAGCCATTGGAGAGACTATTTTCGAAATTTCCAATATGCTCTTAGGTATTTTAATAGCATTGCTTGACCCAGGTGTCAAGCCAGTTTCAGGGCAGGTTCTTGGGTGTAGTTATCGAGTCCGAATCCCATAGCAAGACCTGTCCAATCGGTTCAGTTCAAAGCCTCGTTGGCTAAGTGGTATAGCGTCTCACTAGTAATGAGAAGATCACTGGTTCGATTCCAGTACGAGGCAAACGAGTCTTGGAGAAGTCGATCTTTTTGCTGGTTTTGAGACTAGTTTATAGGTCTATGTGGTGTTTTCTGGTGTTGTTGAGAATTGAGTGAGATTTGAAAACGTTGCCCATCCTTTTTTGGAGGACAAAAAAGTAGGCTATCGCTACCGCTCCGAGCATCCATTGTAATATGGCCCGTGCTCACGCTGTGCCGCCTGCCTCCGCAAAGCAGCCACAGACAGACATAGACACAGCAATACACGGCAGCTAATGAAGGCCTTTCGTTGTGTATTGAGCACCTCGGTTCTACACATCAAGCACCCGTTCAATAGGTACAATAAATAGACTTGGTAAAGAGCAGGATGAAAGAAAGTAAACAGATAAATACGTAGGCAGAAAGAAGTAATAGAGTGACTGACGTTCCCGTCTTCTCAGACCAAGACCGAATTCATTTATCCCTTCCAGTCATGAGCACTCACCGACTCGCCATCACCCCCACGCTGCATCAAAATGACAAGGACACGAAAAATAGAAGAAGAAGAAGAAATTTCCCTCACGACCCTTGTCCGAATTTTGATCAGATAACGCCCGTCAGAAACGACACTTGTTCCACTTCACGGGCGGTCACTTGTCCGACTCCGGACCCGCGTCGGGAGCCTGTCATGCCCCTCATCTGATTGGCTGGAGCGCATTGAGACAGCATTTGCCCCATCGGGTCAGGGAGGAGAGTATATAGCAGCTGGAATATTAGAGAAATTGCAAGAACAGAAGGATACGCTCTCTATATAAACCTCTGGCATAAATTCTTTCGGGGCATTCGCCTTCTTTGGTTTGTTTGACCTTCGGCATATCAGCTAGTTTTGTGCTAGAACACTGAACAACACACACGCCTTGGCCATCCGTCCTCCCGCAGACAAAACCGTGTATCGTCCAACAACCCAAACCATCACACCCTCGAAGCCCTCATGAAACCTCTCAAAGACTCATCCAAAAGCACGCCTTCGCCCTCAATGTCAATCAAGCACAACAACACAGTCACAACCAACACGCCTCAAGATGTAGAAGCCAACCCTCTCCAGCCAGACGAAACCGAAAAGCCCGACAACGTCTCGGCCTTCAAGTCCCTGGGTCTGCTGGACCGCTTTCTCGCCGTCTGGATCCTCCTCGCCATGGTCGTCGGCATCATCCTCGGCAACTTTGTACCCTCCATCGAGTCAGTCCTCGACAAGGGCAAGTTTGTCGGCGTTTCCGTCCCCATCGGCATGTCCCACCTCCCATTTCACCACAATCAATTACCAGCTAACAAGTCGCATCAGCCGTCGGCTTGCTCGTCATGATGTACCCAATCCTCTGCAAAGTCCGCTACGAAAGCCTCCCCGAGATCCTCTCACACCCCGAGTTCTGGAAACAAGTGCTCTTTAGCTTCGTCATCAACTGGATAGTCGCGCCGTTCTTGATGGTCAGTTGCACAGTGTTGTGCTTAGGAATTACATTGACAGCTTTTCTAGCTCGGTCTGGCCTGGGCCTTTCTCCCCGACGAGCCCGGGTTGCGAATCGGCCTCATCCTCGTCGGCCTGGCGCGGTGTATCGCCATGGTACTGTTCTCCCTCTTCCACCGCCCTCTACTCGTCGGTCACTGACTTTGTGTCTCTGTAGGTTCTAATCTGGAATGGCCTCGCCGGCGGTGACGCCGAATACTGTGCCATCCTAGTCGCCATCAACTCCGTGCTCCAAATGGTCCTGTACGCCCCAATGTCCATCTTCTTCATTCGCGTCATCAGCGGCGAGACGGGTGCCACCGACGTGTCGTACTCGGTCGTCGCTCGGAGCGTCGCCGTCTTCCTGGGAATCCCTCTTGGCGCTGCTGTCATCACTCGTTTCTCGCTGCGTGGCATGCTGGGGGAGAGTTGGTATGAGCGCATCTTCCTTCGCATCGTTTCGCCATGGTCCCTCATCGGCTTATTGTACACAATCCTGGTCCTCTTCGCAGCCCAAGGTCACCAGGTCGTCCACCAGATCGTCTCCGTCGTTCGCGTTGCGGCCCCTCTTATCGTGTATTTCGTCATCATATTCTTTGCCACTCTGCTCGTGTCGCGGCGTGCTGGCTTTGGATACCCCCTTTCCACAACCCAGAGCTTCACAGCGGCCAGTAACAACTTTGAGCTGGCCATTGCAGTCGCCATTGCTACGTACGGGCCAGACAGCGACCAAGCGCTGGCATCCACTGTAGGTCCGTTGATTGAGGTACCGGTTTTGCTCGGCCTGGTGTATCTCCTCCGTCGGGTTTCGGGACGATGGGGCTGGGCGGTATGATTGCTGGAGGGTATCGAGCGTCGGAGACTATCAGTGGAAGTGGCTTGGCGGATAGAACAGACGTGAGGATTCGTCGCTTTGGCTTCACCAATGTCCCTTTTTTCCATGGAAATAGTGCCAGGCTATCGTGCCGTCTCAGTCCATGAGCTGAAGTAGATCGGTGTTGCGAACCATGAAGTCCTTGTTATCAGAACAGCCCAGGCCAGCCAGGGTCAAGGAATCATCACTGTTTCCACGGAGCCGAGCCAGGATGCTGGCCGCTTCGACGCAGTGCGTCTGGTCGTGTCGGTGGTGTCCCATCATATGAGGTCGTGGCAGCGTGTGGCTGTGGCAGCGGTAGTGTTCGGCCTGCGGCTTGGGACGACATCCCAGCTTCGGTTTCAAGTTAGACTGGGCGTAGCAACCATGATCTAGCTGGGACTGGACCATACTGCTGGGTGGCTTATCCAAGACCATGGGCAACCGGAGCCCGTTGATGAGCCCCCCGGCCGAGGAGCCTTGCCGCTTTGGTGACAGATCGGACTGCTGCTGGAGAGGCGGCAGCGAGCGATCGGGGGCCATGCTGCTGCTAAGTCGGGGAATAGGAATGACGGGAGAGCAGGGCCTCGGCTGCATGGTCTGGGGTGGCATGGCCATGTGCGTCGGGGACGGGCCGCACGAGACGGGGGTGAGAGCTGGCAGAGGGGTGGAGATGGGAACCGAGATGGACGCCGGCGCCGAAGGCGTGGACGTGATGATGGACGACGAAGCCGACGGGGCGGGAGACGGCATCTTGTAGGGCGTGTCCAGTCTCGGATCGTACTGCATCTGCATCTCCCGGATGGGCTCCAGCCTCGACTCCCGGGTCCCGGCGAGATCCTCCCACACACTCAGCGGCGGCATCGCCACGTTGGCCTGCGGCGCCATCTGGGGAAGCGTCTGCACCTGGCTCTGCATCGGGGACTTGGTGACGCCCGAAGTGTGCAGATGGGCCTCGACCTCGTCGGATGCGACTCCCTTGGTGGCCAGGAGGCCCTTCAGAGCGACGTTCTCGGCGGCGACAACGCGGGCGACTCGCTGCATCTCCAGGGTGGCTTCACCGTCGCGGCGCTCATACTCGCGGACGCGGCGCTGCAGATCCTCGAGGAGTTCTCGGTGGCGGGCGCGAGACCGACGCTGGTTCTCGCGGTTGAGGGCCAGGGACTCTGGCGTTCGGTGCTGTTTGGTGGGAGTGGGGGTTAGTAGTAGTCACAGAGAGGATAATCAGGGTAGGTAATGACGATTTGTCCAAGGTGAATGACGGTGTGTGCGTTTGTGCGTGCCAGGCTTGTGCAGGTAATGTGTGGTGGTGTGTGGTGTGTAGCATGTGTCGTGGTGTTTAATAAGTGAGGAGAAGGGTATCAACGACACGTGGGAGGACAAAGATAGCAGCAGCCCGTCTCGGTGAGTAATAAACATGAAGTACATGGACAAATAGCTTACCTTTCGTGGCATCTACAATAACGTATTCGTATCTCTCAACGAATCGAATCGTGTAACAAATAGAAACAAGAAGCAGCAAGCAGAAGACTGGTGGAAAAGTTGGTCTTGCCCTCTGAACTTGTTTTTCCCCACACTTTTTTAGAAGCCTTTTCAACAGATGAATAGAAGAGTTGAGCCTAAAACCGAGTTGTGAGTCTCTTGGGCGAAATCGGAAGACAAAAAGATGAAGAAGGTGAGTTTTTTTTTTCCCCTGGGAACATGAGATTGATGAGAATCGGAGAAAAGATCGGAACCGTTTCGTCAGGCCACGGCTACGTTTTTCAAGACAACATGGCATTTCGAGTCGACGGAATCACAATCGTTTCATTGTTAAGCTTTTGATCTGTCTTGATTCCGTTTGGTTGTTGTTGGAAAGCAAGCCGCCGCCTCGTTACATTCCCGAACACGCCCACCCCCTAGGAGTGAAGGGTAATGGTGGCCTCCCACGCTCATGACCCCTTCGTCTAACTCTTGACTCGCCTCGTGCCCAGAACCAGGCTTCCTTAAATCTCGAGGGACCCCCTTGGCATGAGCGTAGTGATCAGGGTCTAAGGCAGGCAGTTCCGAATGCAGACAAGCACCAGCCTTCACGAGACGCGGCGGCAGCCAGTAGCCTTTCCATCCTGAGCCGTGTCATTACTGCAAGGAGAAGCAAGTGCAAAGACTTTTTTCCGTGGGGGCACGACTGCAGGTAACCGGCAATGAGGAACCTGGCCTGAGGTTGGCTGGAGAGCAATGGGCTGAAGGGAAGCATGGGGGTTTGACTCTCCTTGTCTCCCAAGTTGACTTGCAGGGACGGGGGGCCTTGGTTGCGCCGGCCAATCAGAGCTGAGACGATTGTATTTCCTCTGCTTCTATTGCTTCTGGCCTTCGAAAACCGACACTACGTTACCTGTTCCTGACATGGAACGGGCGCTGCATGGCTCTCGACATCCCGCGTTCTCCAGACTCGACATATCCACTGGTTCGTTAGAAGGGAAGAAACCCCCACGGGCCGTTGACTCTTGGTGAGAGTCAGAGCCAACAGTTGACCAGAGCGACTTCACAACGGGCAAACAGTATGAGACCCAGCGTATCCCATTTGTCCCATTACCAACGAATATCCACTTTTCGGGTTGCCTCTCACTAATTTGTATGGGGGTCTTTTGCTCCTGGGTGGTGGGGGACATCGGCAATACTGAGAAATAGGTGGCAGGGCGTTATTGTC